ATGGCATTGGCTCTGGGAAATTGAATTTTTCCTGTGCTGTGATTGGTTTAACGTTTATCAATCGTGCATGCCGACAAAGAACCGGAACCCCTAAATTTAGGGGTTCCGGTTGTCAATTTCCCCAGAGCCAATGCCATCCTAGCCCGCGCACAGGCATTGCTCTGGGTACGAGATTGGGTAGGTTTAGGATGACTTTAGTAGCACGACGCTGGACCCTTTCGACACGTCTGATAAGGTCAATTGATTGTGGGGACCAAACCTGAGTGGCATACCTGAGATGTGGATGAACAATAGCAAGGTATGGAGTACCGCGAACGTTAACGTCAGTAATGTTACTAACAGAGCAGTGAACACAGCCAACAGATTTGTTGGCTGCTGAGGTTTGTGCAACTAGTTACCTGGGACTTCCATGACAAAGTGTTGGTTACCCATACTCCAAGGTCACGTTCTTCATTGAGTCTTCCAATGGGCTTACCATTTACAGCATACTCATGGATTAAAGGTGATCTTTTCCGAGTAACTGTCTGACAATTTGTTTTAAGTTCGTTGAAGTTTAACCCTGATGATGTTGACCATGTGCTAAGATTATTTAAATCGTTTTGCAGTAAATTCGTGTCCGTTTGGTTGTTAATAGTTTTAAATAGTTTAGTATCATCAGCAAAACAGGAAACGGAAGAAGCGATGACAGTATCATGTATATCATTAACGTAGAGAAGGAATAGTACAGGTCCAAGAATAGAACTTTGAGGTACGCCTGAAGTAACTGCGAGGGAAGATGAAGTACCGCCAGGAACAGTAACATGTTGTTTCCGTCCAGAGAGATAAGAAGAGAACGGAGGATGGAGGTTTATCCTAATATTAATATTTTGTGGTTTGTCCAAAAGTACATCATGTCGAACTCTGTCAAATGCTTTGCTCATGTCCAAGTAAATTATGTCTGTCTGTTTTCCGTTGTCGAGTTGTTGGCCAATGCGCTCCAAGACCTGTACAGTTGTGCATGATCGACCAGGTATAAAACCGTGCTGATTATCACTAACATATTGAAGCAAATGGTCTCTTGTTTTGACTAGTACGCAACATTCGGGAACTTTTGATATATTTGACAAAAGAGAGATAGGTTGATAGTTTGAGTCATGTTCACGCTTCCCCTTTTTGAACACTGGTACGATGTTGCTGATCTTCCAGTCATCAGGAAGGGAACCAGATCGTAAAGAGAGATTGAACAGTAGGCACATGGATGAGGCTATTTGTTCGGCAGTTTCTTTCAATATCTTGTTAGAAATACCATCAGGTCCGGTAGCTTTATGTTCATTTAGGGAATGTAGTAAAGGGAGAATATCATCTACGGTGAGTTCAATATCTGTTAGGCAGTTTTCATCAGTGATTGTGGTTTCGTTTGCTGGGTGTGTTTGGTCTTGGTGAAATACAGAAGCAAAAAACGTATTAAACAGATCAGCAATCGAGTTAGGATCATCAGCAGCAATCGTGTTATCGTTGTTGGAACTTTTCAACGTCATACGTTGTGGCAGGCTAGATTTTTTTGGTGTGTATTTGAACAAGGACCAAAAGCGCTTAGGGTTCGAATTAAGCATTTGCAATCATGTGCTTAACACGAGATCTCAGTTGTTTGAATTTATTAGGCAATAGTTCGCTTCAATTGAATTTGGTTTTTTTTCGGATGGTATTCTTAACGTGCAATTCATGTAAGATTTCACCACTTAGCCAAGGTGGGTTCCTTTTTCTTTTGAGCGTTTTAATTTTTACATAACGAGAAATTAGTGAATTAAAAGCACTAATCCAGTTAGACCAGTTTTCGTTAATATCAAACGTAGGATCGATCACCATGGACAGGTTTTCCGTTTGGATTGCATTGCAAAGGGCATTAAAGTCAGTATTATGGTAGTCGAATACGAAACTGCGTGGATGTTTTTGCATTTTCAGGTTTATTTTAATTTTGGATTGTGGGATGGCGTGAGCTGTAAATATACCTGCATCATTTGGTGAAATGATATAGGATGCGGTATTCGCGGGCACAAGAGAATGGGAAGCTAGAAATACCGCCTGCCCAAAAACTACACATTCTGAGTTCTCCCCGGCAGCTGAGTGCCGGAGCATTCTGATTGGTCAGAATGTTGATTTTCAATTTTTGATTGACAGGAGTAAAGAATTAGAATAATTAGTGCTAATTTTAGAAGTTACTGTTGCCGTATTAACTATTGTTATTTTCGTAATTGATACAATCTATTATTGAGTTATGCAATCTATCATTATTGAGTTACGAAAAGATTAATGAATGTATTGAGAAAGCATTGAATTATTTATCCGGAATTGGACCACAGTGGGCACAAAAGACTGCAAATTCGGCCACGTACAAATAACTTTCTGTCGTTAGTTTGGAATATCACGAAACTTCCTCACAGGATAGAACTTGCCATTCCTAAAAATCGTATCGTTTTTGTCTTTCGATTTTGTTTGGCGCCAAAAAATTTAACACGAGCCAAGAACATTCTAGTAACTTTTTTGAAGAGATTGTCCTACAAGGATCTCAAAACTGTAAAATCATTAAAAATACAACAAGGCAGTGCGAAGATATGGCGATTCAAAGTTCGAAAAAAATCTATTTTTAGTAACAAAATGGTAGATTTTTCAGAATTTTAAGCACCATATCTTTGCACCGCTTGCCAGTATTTTCAATGTTTTTACAGTTCTGAGATCCTTGTGGGACAATCTCTTCAAAAAAAGTTCCTGGCATGTTCTTAGCTCATGTTTAATTTTTTGGCGCCAAAGGTGGCATGTTATTTTCCCGCCAAAATGTAACAAAATCGAAAAACAAAAACGATACGATTTTTAGGAATGGCAAGTTCTATGCTGTGAGGAAGTTTCATGATATTCCAAACTAACGACAGAAAGTTATTTGTACGTGGCCGAATTTGCTGTCTTTTGTGCCAACCGTGGACATCCCATCATTTTGAAAAATGAACAAATGATATCAATACAACATTTGTTGCTCAACAGAGATGTGATAGCAATTTTGCCAACTGGATTTGGGAAAAGCATGATATTTACAGTGTATGCTTTGGTGAAGCGTCAAATGATAAAAATGGCTGGGAATGTTAACAATGATGGTTGTTCTGTTCTCGTGATTTCTCCTTTGAAGAGCATTATAAGTGATCAAATCTCTTATCTTCAATCGATCAATAATACCGCAGTTGAAATGTCGAACAAAACATTCGTGGATATAGTGCGATCACCGCCGCAATTTATTTACGCTACAGCGGACCAAGTTATTGACCAAAAGTTCATGAAAGAAATTAAAAGCATGACCAGCATACTTCATCATAGTATTGTTGCAGTTGTCATGGATGAATCGCATACTGTGGAGACGTGGGGTGCTAAAAGGTATTTGGGGTTATAATATTTATTATTCGCGATTCTGTATGTAATACTTGCGAATTGGAACTAATGTATTAAATACGAGAGACCTGATTGACAACAAGTATGGTATATTATTTGCTACTCATTTTATAGAAGGGGATACACGATCGAATAAGAGTGAAATATTCCGTAGTGCATATGGAAAATTATCAATGCTACGATCCGTTTGCAAGCAAGGTACACGTTTGTTAATTAACTATAGGCTGCATGAAAAATCATATGTTCCAACCATGTTATTGAATAAAGTATTGTGCTAAGAATGTTCAGCAGGTGAATTTCAATTGATGATTATTTGCTTTAGTATCCTATTATTTATAATACTAAATGAACAATTATTGATTTATAAAATGAATACATTCAATTGAAAGAAACATGAAAATACTTCTCGTAGAGATGAATGGATCAGAAACAAAATAACAGGCATTTATAGAAGTCAGATTGGATTGCTACTTGGATCGAACCAGGGGCTGGACGCTAACCCCAGCCCTAAACCCAAGCATAACCAGCAGCAGGTCAATGATCGATCCGGGTTTTTTGTTTGATCTGGCCCAGGCCAACTACGATATCCAATCCGACTTTTAGGCAGGTCCTCACAATAACTGGGTTATTGAACAAAATGAATAAGTTATCTATTTTGAGACAAAATAACTCTTTTCATATGCCACTGAAATTCTGCTATAGACATTCCAAACATCTGAAACTGTGATGTGCGTGAATGTTACAATAGTTTGCCCTACTGGTGGCATCACAGGGCAAATGATGACTAACCTGCAAATCAACTTCCCTGCAATAAAGGTCTAGGTTGGGGCCCAAGCAGTTGTGTCCATCAATACCAACCTGTTATGCAGGGTAAACCACAATTTTAACTTTTTTGTTCAACAATGTCTCATTTAGGTACACCTTTCTCAGCTCTCACAGGAACAGCCGATGAAAGCACAGAAAAAGAAGTTTCAATGAGCTTGAATATGGTTGATCACCAAAGAGTGTTTGTCAGTCCAAATCGAACAAATTTCCATTTCCATGTGGAGAAGGTACAAAAAGCATGTATGTTGTCACAACTAGACTGGATTGTGATTTGTTAAAGAAAATGGGGTAAATACTCCCAAGGTTATTGTGTTTTGCAGCAATCTATATGCAAGTGCTAGTGTTATGAACTACTTAATGATGCAGCTGGGCCATAATGCATTTTATCCACCAACATCACGTGAAAGAAAACATTGTTTAATAGGAATTTTCCATTCTGCTACACTTCCAAAGTATAAAGAGAAACTCCTACAGTGTTTCAAAGACACGAATGGGTCAATAAGGGTTACTGTTGCAACAATTGCACTAAGTATGGGGGTTAACTTCACCGATATTAGATTTGTGGTTATGTGGGGACCACCAAGAAGCATACTGGACTTTCATCAAGAAGCTGGGCGTGCAGGACGAGACAATAAACCAGCTGATGTGATACTTTATTATTATGGTCAACAAATTGTGCACTGCGACTCGTCGCAGTTATGTGGAGTTTTTTGAAATGTGAAAGCTGTTATCATGTTGCAAGCTATTCTTCATTGGATTCAAATATAGTGTCGCTTGTTCCTGCTCATGACTGTTGTCAGTTTTGTGCAAAGTCTTGTGACTGCAGCAATGGGTCATGTGAACAACATATAAAGTAATTTAAGATAGATTGTACTGTCAGGGAATATGATCATCCATGCAGAGCTGTGTCAGAGTCTGACAAGCATGAACTGCAAAGTGCCTTAGAAGAATTACAAAACACATTAACAAAAAATCCTGATAGAAGTGCTTTTGGAACTACATTTTCTCAAGGATTTTCTTCAGAACTAATATCAGATGTTATTCAATATTCAAATAGGATTTTTTCACTTGAAGATATCTTAACACATACCCCAGTGTTCAACTTACATCATGCAATTCAGATATTTGAAATTACTGCTGAAATGTTTGATGACATTGATGAATATCATCTCACGAATAATGCTCCCAATTTAGAAAACCTGGGATTCAGTTATACATGTATTGATGAACTTTTGAATGTTGATTATGACAGTTCTAATGTGGAAACGTTGCCTGACCCAGATCTCTAAAACATAATCTTAATCAAGTTGTTGGATACAAAGTTAATTTAGTTACAGTACTTTACAGATAATATATATATATATCGTTTATGAAACCAAATTCAGTTGTGTAACTTAAATATTTTTACCACTTGCGATCACTGCTTGCGAGGTAGGACAAGTTAAACAAGAAAATTGGTTGGCCGGAATAAAACTCATTTGTCATCAGGTGTTAAGTTTTGCCCTCACATGTTATCAAAATTGGAAGCAAATTGTTGCAGTAAGGATTGATTAATCAACATTCTAATATAATTATGTCATAGTCATTTGAAGACTTAAATTAATCATGAAGTGTTGATTTCAGCCAAGTTACTGATAAAGAATCAAAAACAGAATACTGTACATAACATAAACAATTAAACAAGCAGTTTTGTGTAGCAACTAATTTCTGGCAAAACATATTAAAACTTGCCCGATTGGGCAACCAATAATCAACTTCTACTTGCCCGTAATGATTTTTACTTGTCCCAGGCAAGCGGGCAAGTGCTAAGTTACATCACTGAAATTGTATTATATCTATTCAAAAAGAAGTATACCAGGTCTTCACTAATCCAGACATCCACAAGTGCAAGTCTCTATAATCCAAATTTTTAAGCAGGTCACATGGAAATTTGGCGAATGAGTTGTGTCCGTTTCTGCCTGGTTGGTGTTTGAAAGCCTTTATGGTGAGTAAGTCGGTAGCAATCTGTTTCACTGCAACTTCTGATTTGCCTGATGATCGATATCCACTTGCTTCGCCAATATCACAATCTCTGTCTATTGAATCCAAGATCATTTCCACATACTCAGTTGTTCTTGCTAGCCTAGAAGCATATGTTTCATTCACATTGGCTCCAAGTCCCCTCCACATTGATTTTACACATTTGTTTAACTGCTCCATGCGTAAATCCAATGGAATGTTTGCTGCATTTTTCCCGTGTTTGTTGAAAAATCTATTCCATTTTAAATTGTGGGAATCATTTTCAGACAAAATGCCAGATATTTTCACCAGGTATAACAAAACAACATATGAATATTTTGTTTTGCTGTATGCTTTGTACATTAGTAGGGCTAGTTTGTATAGTTCATATAATCTTTGTCCATCCCCTTCCTTGATTGCATCATTAAACTCGAATAATAACAGACCAAATGCAAGCTTTCCTCTGTGATAGTTATAAATATAGTCTTCCTTTATTTTATTGTGAACTTGTGGAGCAATTGCATCACATGTCGTCTCTTTGAAACTTCTACTATGTATAGCTTTTTCATGTCTGGAAGAAATTAATTTTTAAAAAAGTAAGAATTTTACTGTAAAAACATGTAGGGTCACTTATGTTGCTATTGTGATTTTCTAGTTTAGCAATAAAATATATTTTAGAATATGTATAGATGTATCTGTTGTCATGGAAAATCACATCCCTATTAATTTACCGTTCAGGATTATTCATGGTAAAATTGGTATCTGACTTTCCACAACTTGCTTTTAATTAATTTCCATGCAACTTATAAATTTGCCTTTGATGAATAAACAAGTCCGCATGAGAACTGGCAGTGTCCAAATGAATCTTTTTCATCCCCACCATCTTCATATCTTTAGAGTACAAGGTTGTGCTTTGTAACTTCATATCTGAAAGTGTTTGAATGAAAGTGTTTAAAAAAATTTTCCCGAAAATGTTGGCATTAATCAAAGGCAAAAAGCAATTTGAACAACATTTTTCACGAACACAAAGGTCACTTCGTCACCGAAAAAGGGCACTTTTCAAAACTTGGGGGGCTTGGCCACCCTGCCCCCCCCCCATTCCTATGCCCCTGTTAGTGTTTTTATGTCAATTTGGAAAGGAGCTTCCACCACATGTACAAGTGTTTTTCTCCCAATAATTTAGAATTAATGGAAGCAGATCACACAATAAGCTCCAACTATGGTTATTGCTCCCCGATCAGAGATAAGGTCATGGGCATGAAGTTGCTTTTAATTGTCGTAGAACATCATATTTAAGATCATTTTCACAAATCCATGACATTAGTCAAAATCATTGGGAGGGAAGTTAAAAGATGATGAAGTAAATTTGATGTACTGGTAATCACAATTACTTACTTTACTCTGGCAGAATGGAGTATATATTTGTAGTTACATCCTTCAAAACGACAAACATATCCACCATTTCTTGCTTCATTCAACTCCTCAATCCTTGTGATTATTGGTAAAACAGTTCCACGCTCTAACAAGTATGTATGTACAAAATTAGTGCACAACTCCAATAACCATTTTCTACATTCTTCCTTTGGTTCTTTTATGCTTGGAATAGTGTAACATGGACTATCTGCAAAAAGAAATAATTATACAATTGTTAAATGTAATATATTGATGTGTTTTCATCAGTTTTTCAGTCATCTATAAATTTCCTAAAAGATGCACTGAGCTCAGCCTCTGTGAGGTGCTGATTGCCATAGCGTTGACCACATATTTTAAATTAATCACAACCTGGGAGATCGATGGATTATATTTTAAAAAAATCATATTGTCTAAGTAATAAATTTACGTGGTGTTTCCACAAACAGAACTATTATAGGGTGTAGGTAAAACATGGCCCTAGGCCATGGCCCAGTGTATGGCCCTACCCTTGGCCCACCTGTTTTTTGTTTAATTTTGATGTGTAAATTATGTCAAAATTATTTTAACGTGTTGAGTTCATATACGTTTCATATGTATTATAAAATATTGATTTGAGCTCATTTCTAAAATACGAAATAAGTTTTGACCAGTCACCTGTGCGTTTTACGATTAGTACATAATATGGACTATTACATAAAGTACGAACAACCAAACAACACATGATCACGTGAGAGAATCAATGTTGGCCGCATGGCGCACAACTGCATCGTTTCATGGGGTGAGTTTTTATCGTTTCTTTTAGCTTTTTGCTATCAATACGAGCAGGTGCTTGTCTTGCAATTTAATGAAAGTAATGTTGAGAACTCTCTAACGTTTATAAACGTTTGAATTTTAGAAAATCGTGTTTAAAATCAAAAAATGAAGCGATCGAGGCGAGTTTGAAGAATTACATTTGACCAGATTTGGACGCTGTTTATTTAAAATATGTTGAAATATTTACACTTTACAGACTAGATAATTATTATGTTATTGATGATCGAAACCTTTTATATACAAATAACACAGGATTTGCAGACTTGAAAACAAGTCAAAAAGTTCCCAAAGTTGCAAAATTATGCGGATTCCGAATATTCGGAATTATCTAGTCTGTAAAGTGTAAATATGTAAATATTTCAACATATAAACAACGTCCAAATGTATTCTTCAAACTCGCCTCGATCGCTTCATTTTTTTATTTTAAACACGATTTTCTAAAATTCAAACGTTTATAAACGTTAGAGAGTTCTCAACATTAAATTGCAAGACAAGTCGTATTGATAGCAAAAAGCTAAAAGAAACGATAAAAACTCACCCCATGAAACGATGCAGTTGTGCGCCATGCGGCCGACATTGATTCTCTCACGTGATCATGTGTTGTTTGGTTGTTCGTACTTTATGTAATAGTCCATATTATGTACTAATCGTAAAACGCACAGGTGACTGGTCAAAACTTATTTCGTATTTTAGAAATGAGCTCAAATCAATATTTTATAATATATATGAAACGTATATGAACTCAACACGTTAAAATAATTTTGACATAATTTACACATCAAAATTAAACAAAAAACAGGTGGGCCAAGGGTAGGGCCATACACTGGGCCATGTTTTACCTACACCCATAAACTTTGGACATAAATGCCTTCCCTGCTACTAAATACATCATTCTAGGAAATATCAGAAGCCCCTCTGAAACAGTTAAACTAAACATTGCATCTGTCTAGATATAAAGGATAATGTAAGTGGTTCTGTAAGTGATACAACTAGGTGAACTAGCTGCAATATACAAATAGAACTTCAACAGTTTGTGTGAATTAGACCCTTGTCTACTTGTACTTTCAGGTAGTTGTATCACCTACATAAACCACAAATATATTTTGATCACTACCTACTGTACATGGGTCCCTGCCATTAAGGATATTAGGATAATGTAAGACATTAAAATCCAACACTTCCACAGTTGGCAAGTAAAATCATATGGAATTAGTAAAATAACATAAGTATTTTGCACTATGACTTGATAGACTAACAAGAGACATTAACAGATTGTATGGTTAGCCTCATCAAATCCTAATAGTTTCATACAAAATTTCTGTGTTACCTTTCGTCTTTCTGACTAATGCAATCACTGCAGTCGAAGCATCAGTAACTATTTCAGACAAGATGATTTTGCCAACCATTCTCTCCAGTATTGTTCTTAACCCAAAGACTTCCATATTAGTTGATATGCCTCCTGTCTGACGCTTGTCCACCACTTCCACATCAACAATGACATCTAGATGTTGCTCCATCAAAGCATACATGCAATACTTTGCACTGTGTCCTGGTGAATCGTTTCGACCATCACCACACAAGACAACTGGCTCACCAGACAGGATATCCCATATTTTCATCTTTCATTTGTTCCCAATATCTTTTAACTTCAGGAATGATAAAATGAGTTTGCATCCTATTGTATGTTGACTTTGAAATAAAACCAATTCCAAGAAACCGAGCAAATAATGCTAATTTGTCAAAGTTGTTTCCAGACATAAAAATACCACCATCAACAAGGAACTGGTGTAAATATTTTGCCCTTTTTTTTGACAGAGTACTTTTGAAGATGTCCATAATCCTTTATGACCTTTACAACACTCCCATGATACCCTCAAAACACCACCTTCCATTTTAGAATTAATTACTCGACTTGTTCCAGGACACGATAAGTGCTGGCAACTGTTGTTAAAAGTTTCCAGTAATAAGGCCACGTCAACAATAACTCGATCTCTCTTAAAATGCTCATTGCATATACTATTATGTTTGCCTAAACCACTCAGTACATTAAATGCTGTTTGAATCTCTTCCGCTAGCCTTTTATTTCTTTCTTGCAGTGTTTCCTTTTCTTCTGAACTGCTGAGATCCATGTCTTCTTCTCCTTTTGTTGACTCATGAATACATGTAGTTTCCAACATATCCTCTTTTCCTTTTGTTGAATCATGAATACAAGGCTCAGCCTCCAACATGTCATCTTCTGTGGCACTTAATGTTGTCTCTGCATCATACTCTTCAGAAAACCTATAAAATACAAGACATATTTTTTTAATTACAGTACTGCAATACAATATTCAAATTACAAAATGGGATTCCCGCCAGCAAGTGCAAGATAGATTTGTTTGCACATTGAGAAATAACCAAACTATAACACAAAAGAAAAGTACAGTACATGTAGTTGTTCCTTACCCTTCAACATCACTCCACCAGTTTCCATTGCTTAGGTCATCTTCTGATCCATTTTTACTTGAACAAGAACTATTAATCAAAAAGAGGTAAACTGTATATTTAATTCATTTTGAGAGGGAATTTGCCTAGCAATAAACAGACTTGTTAATGGGTTCAATTAAAATCAAAGACGCATATCCACATTGGTAATTTCAACATAAACCTCGGACAAAGTTAAATGTACAGGTGTTAAAGAGGCAACTTTTTCTCTGGCCTACACAAAAATGTATGTTACTGTTATTGACATAAATATAATTACCTTGTATCATAATCTGATTCTGAACTTGATGTATCACTCTCAAATGATGGGTTGTCAGTGTATGTTCTGAATTCAGGATTAATGAATGTGGAAACGCTCTCTATTCTGCTAACTTTCCAATAAAGGTTCTTCTTCACAGAAATTTAGGAGCAAGTGGCGTGCAAAATCCTGTGTGACTTTGTAGAAAATCCAACAGAATTTTTTCTTGCAATCCACATCTCGTATACATCCTTCTTTATTTTAATTTGTACAATTCCTACATCACCTCTTGGCCTTCCACGCTTGGGAGGCGATGCGCCCGTGAAAGCAGACATATCTCAGAATAATATCAACACATCCGATGAGTATTGTAGTTTATTACAACGAAATATTGCTAAATAATAGTCAGAACTTCTTGCATCACACGCACAGCACAAGAATTAGAAAAGTAATAATAATTTATCAAAGCGATTGTTCGGATATTCGCGTAGTCAATTCACACAACTCCTAACAGACGAACGTCGCCATTTTAGGGGCACCCAAAAATGGCCGACCAAGCGCGCAATGCATTACCCTGAGACTCATTCTTTAATAATTTTAAGGATTCATCAACAGAGTTCCATGCCTTTGGACCACAGTATATAATATTAAAAATGCCATAACTTGTTCGTACTTTTGGCAAAGCAAAAGTAGATTTGGATGAAAACCGCGTATTATGATTATGCTTATGTTCTTTAAAAAAATCAGCAAAAACAATTGGAAGAGTGTCACAATGGTACTGATGCATAAATAGGACTGTACAAAATTGAACAATGTCAGGAAATTTCAATAAGTTCAGTTCTTTGAAAAGAGGAGAACTGTGAGTTCTGAAGGGTGAGAAAGTTATAATATGTATAGCTTTTTTTTGTAATACCGTCAAAGGTTTAACGTTAGTCTTGTAAGTATTACCCCAGATTATTATTCCATAAATTAGAAATGGATAAATAATAGAATAATAAATTTTAATTAATATATCAGTCTTAACAAAATTTCGAAGCTTTAATAATATGCCAATACCACGGGAAATCTTTTTACAAAGTTCATTAACATGCTCTTTCCAGTTGAGGTTAGAATCAATGATAACCCCTAAATATTTATAACTCTTTTTTTCAACTAAATCTTTGTTGTTAATGCTAAGATTAATAGTATAATCAACTACCTTTTGAACTGGATGAAAAATAACAAAATGTGATTTATCAACATTTAATGATAACTTATTCACACATAACCAGTTGTGAATGTTTATTAGTTGTTGATTTAAATGTTCTTCAAGAGATCTTAGATTTTTGTGAGCATAAAATAGATTTGAATCATCGGCAAAAAGGTGAAAGTCGAGCAAATCAGATGAGTTATTGAAATCATTAATATAAACTAAAAAAAGTAAGGGTCCCAAGACTGATCCTTGTGGTACCCCACACACAATATCATTTAGGTCAGATTTGGTAGTACCAACAGAAACAAACTGTTTCCTATCATCAAGATAAGAATTGAACCATTTATTTACGATACCTCTAATTCCATAGTGCTGCAATTTATTTATCAAAATGCTATGATCAACGGTATCAAAAGCTTTGCTAAGACAAGGAATACACCACAAGAGAAGAGCTTTTCTTCAATGGCTTTTTGAATTTTATCAGTAATAAGTATCAGTGCTTGAGATGTGGAATGATTTGCTCGAAATCCAAACTGTCCACATCAATTTTTCTAGCAATTTGCTAAATATGGAAAGTAGGGAGATTGGACGATAGATAAATCTATTATAGACCCCCTTCTTATAAATTGGAATAACTTGCGCTATTTTAAGTTTATTAGGAACAATTCCTGAAGAAAATGACCAATTATAAATATAGGTTAAAGGCTCAGATACATTCATTTTTATTGTCTTTAATAGATTTATTGGAATACTAAATGGCCCAGTTGATTTACCTAACTTCAACTTCTCAATCTCATTTTCAATTTCACTACAGTCAGCTGGAAAGAGCATAAAACGATTACAAAGGGGTCTTCTAAGGAATTTTTTGTAGGACGAATTAACCACTGGTATACTTTCAGCAAGCTTAGTGCCTATGTTAGTAAAATATTCATTAAATTCACTGGCAATAGCAGCAGCATCAGTAATTCTTTCATTTCCCACCTTTATTAATGTTGGGAAGGAATAATTTACTTTTTTTAGTGTTATTAGTTGCTTAATTCCCTTCCATGTTTCCTTGATATTGTCTTTTTTTATCAAGAAATAATTATTGTAATAATTCTTTTTGCTTATAAGCAATAAATGTTTTAATTTATTCCTAACCAATTTAAATTTAGATAGATAATATCCATTTTTAGACTTAAGATACGACTTGTAAAGCTTGTTTTTATTCTTGATTGAAATCTTGAGGCCTTTTGTAATCCATGGTTTGGTTAGCAACTTCACCTTATTTTTAGACAATTTTTCAAAGGGACATGTTTCTCAATAATCATATTTAGTTTATTAAAAAAGTATTAAATGCTAAATTTGCATCATCACTATTATTAGTATTATAAACAGTTTCCCAATTCACAGCACCAGTTTCTGTAATAAGATCTTCTTCATTATAATGGGAATAATCTCTCACAAAGACATCATTTTTGAATATTTTAAAATTCAATTTACTTACGATAAGGAAATTAGGAAGGTGGTCGGAAATGTCATAAATTATATTGCCACTAGTGGTAGAATGATCAATGGAATTAAAGTAGATGTTATCGATCAATGTAGCAGAATGATCAGTAATCCTAGTGGGCTGCAAAATATGTGGTTGAAAAAAGTAAGAAATCATTGTATTAAGAAATTCATCAGTACCACCATGGGACTCGCAATTCAATAAATTAAGGTTGAAATCTCCCATTAATACACAATATTTCCTTTCATTTGAAATCTTTTCAATAATGGGAGTAAGATAGTTAGAGAAATTTTCAAGACAACTATGGGGATGTCGATATATCACCAAGCACACAGTGTTACATTGATTATTTGAGTGAATTTCAATTGACAAACATTCAAAGTCATTAGTGGTAGTAGTGAAATCATCTCTAGCATGAAATTTAATTTTATCTTTAATAAAGAAACCAACTCCTCCAGCATTACACAAGGTGGGTTGGGAAATATAAAATGAATAATCTGGTATTGAAATATTAGTAATCAGATCCTTACCTTGCATTATTTTAGTTTCAGAAATACCTATGACGTCAAATTTGAAATCCAAATCAGATAACAATGACATTAAGCTATCATGATTAGCAGACAGGCTTCTTACATTGCAGTGTAACACAGAGAATGAAGAACCAGTTGTTACCCTGCTGATACTCTGCGCATTTTGGAACTCTGTTGTTGAGTAATATTTAAAATTAACCTCAGGCAATAGATGATTTTCCACATCATGACCATCTAAGTTTGGTAAATTCGAAAGTCTAGAAGTCAGTTCAAATTTTGGTAAATTATAGTAATTAGTCATGTTTATTCATAGGAACAATGAGAGACGTGCATTTATAATAATTACATAGTACTTATCGTAAAGATGATAATTTCTCCAAATCAGCAACAACATTAATAGCATGTGTAGGGCTAGTTGAATTTTTCCTCAAATAAATTCTGCCATTGTATGTCCATATACAGCGAAAGAATTGGTCTCGTTTAAACTTGAGACAATTCTTGAATAGTTGCTTGTTCCTTGGGCTGAGACTTTCGGAAATATATAATTTACGTGTAAATTTGACAATGATTTTAGCGGAGGTGTTAGCTGCACTTCGATTTTCTTGCTGGTTTTCACTTCTTGATTTTGGGAGCCGGTGACTTATAGATATGTCCCTCTCGTCTAGTTCTACATCCATTAAAGAGCCAATTTTAACTACTAACTTGTTCAGATCTTCATCAGTCTCTTGAGGTAGCCCCGAAATCTCAATGCAGTCGCGTCGAGAATATTGCTCAATTTCATTTAATTCATTACTCTATTGATCGACGATAGTTGAAAGTCGCAGAAGTTCGGCTTTGAGGTGCTTGTTTTCTGAATGGACGTGCAAGACCTGGTTGTCTAGTTCTTCTACCTTCTTGAAGACATCATCAAATTTTTCACTTAGGAACTGAACAGAATCTTTGAGGCCATTAACAGTCAGGAGAATTGGACTTAATTTCTCGTCTAGAATGGCTGAAATGGCTTCTGTAGTAATAGGTTTGGTTTTGCTCATTATGGTGTATCACTCAAGGCAAAGAAAATTGCCTACAGAGATAAAAATGACCTTTAAAATAGCTTTTCTTCGATTTAAACGTGGAGCTCATATTTTGTCTGCCATCTTGATTTCGTGCTTCCACTACATGTTTATCAAACCGACAGTACGTAAGTGGAAAACAACATGTTTATCAAACCGACAGTACGTAAGTGGAAAGATTTCTACACTTGCATGATCGGCCTATATGACAGCTAAACCTATTACAACAATATTTAAACATGATAAATGCTTAGTGAACGCTATCTTATTATACTTCTACTAACCTCTATCCACACACATAGGTTTTGATCTTAGGATTTGTTGCATATGGATATCTTTTGAACAGCTTTCACCAGTCTGCCAACTTACAAACGAAACGGCTTCATCGAAACCATTATGTTGATTTTCTCTTAGTCGTTTAGCTGACGATGATGATTGGACACCAGAACGTTTGCTGGTTTCAAATCATGGTGAATAAGTTCATTCTCATGAAGATATTGCAACCCAGACGGCATTCATCCCAGTACAACTAGATCGTTCGCATACCGCAAGAAAATCTGCCAGGCTGTTCACATGGATATCGCATCCAACTGGATTGAAGTCAAATAAACATTTTCCAACCGCAATGCAAATTGGTCCACGCATATGCCCTTTAATTCCACAACGTTAGCATGTTGTAGGCTTTGAAGTAGTCGCACTTCTTTAACTAAGGACTTCCTAGTTTCATTGTCGGCACCGAACAGCTTTTTAACAGCGATTTTTTCTTCATTTCAGCCAGGAAGCTTGGCTGTGAACACAACCGTATATCCTCCTACCCCAATTTCTTCTTTACCAACAAGAGTTTTGTAAGAAAACTGAGAGAATCCTGTCACATCTAAAGTCATCATTGCAGCCTCTGGTATTTCCCCCCAGGTTTCCAAAACAAAACATCCCACCTCACTGGACGGTAAACACATGGATCTGCAACTTCTACATGTTTATTACAACAGCAGAACAGGCCAGAGGTAAAGGCAGATATAAATTCTGAATTAACACTGAGTTGTAAACTGTAACATGCATGCATGCAGTTGAACGATTTTAAAGAAAAAAATGACAAATTAAATTAATCAAACTATATATACATATGTAAAGTATCTTTACCTTCAAATAACAAACAACGGTATAACTAATGAAAGAACTGCTGAAAATGAACAGGTTTGAGTGCCTTCTTCAAACATCGTCCCAATAAAAGTGAGGCGAGTCACTGAGTGGTGTTCGTTTTCTCAACTGTACATTAATTGATAGTTAAATGCATGCGGTAATGGTTTGTACAAGATAGCGGACGGTCAAAACGACCTCCTATTGATTAGAAGTGATTAACAGAAGAAACGTTTTCATTAACAACAACCACCACCCACGTCCTTAGGCTAATAAAGTTGTTGCCTTGCCTGCAAAGTCTGCACGAGTGCTCTGAAAGTGGAAATATATTAATCGAATCGTGTTTTGGGGGTTAAATGAAGGTATTTGTTTTGTTATATAGCTATGCATTTAATAAGTTATGTGTATCTTATGTGTTCCTCGTTTTGATCCGACCTGCTGTTTCTTATCTCTTGAAGGTGATAATTGTCAATGAGGTTTGACAATTTGGAAAGTCTGTGTATGTTAAGATTAGGAGCGACCAGGAAACATCCACTTCATCTCTGTAATGGTTGTATAAAAAAAGGCAGCATGCATATGTTGCAGCATGGTCTTTAATGCAGAGGCTTATTCCGTGTATAAAGTTCTGATTATATACAACATAGAGGACCATTTTATAGGACCATTGTTATGTTATGTATTGTTTATATTTTCCCCAACATAAGACCGGCAAACAGCTGTTACACAGAGACACTTATATGCCCCCCTCGTTTTATCTAACCAGCTGTTTCATATCTCTTGAAGGTGACAATTGTCCATTTGTTGAGAGACGGTATATTAAGTTTAATTAACATGATCCATGCTGCCGGCACAATGACACACAAATGTAATCTGTCATTTAATGCGTAACGTTAACCTTATATAAGCACTGCTGTAGAAACATAAAAAGTTGAGAATGATTGGGGCATTAGCTAAAGTGCTTCAACTTGCATATTTATTTTCTTAGTTAACTGGTAGCATTCATGCACTTCCAGACTATGCACTCAAGCACATTTTAACATCAGTTTACAATTACAGTCTTTTATCCAAAATTTTACTGGTCTTACATATTCTATTTACATATGTTGATACTTTTCATAATACATATTCAAATCTCAGGTTCAGCTGATTTCATAAGATCTTATACATCACATCTATTAACAGTGTGTGAATGCCAGTGTAGTCACTCCCAGTTTTCATCCCCAAATATGATAACTTCTGTATGTGTTAATTTTTATGGCTACAATAGAAAGTCCACATCCAAAATATTGTGATGCTTTTGACAGCCGCTAATTTATCGTGCATATTCTCTTTCCGGTCCGCAATTGGAAATTTTTTTTTTATCTCCATTGACTTCGGACTGCACAGACCGGTACTCGTATAGTACACTTTGATTCACCATATATGAGAATCCTGTTCTGTAAAAAAGAGTGAAGCATGTTTACTATTAATAGGCTAAAACTTAGGCATAAACACTATGAATAAATTAGTAAACTCCGGGAAACATGTATACATCATCTGTGTCCTTTGCTATATACTGGATCGAACACAAAAAAATTATCCATTTTACCCTCATCCGTCTGCCTGCATTTTACCCTCCCATCTGTCCACATTTTACCTTCTCATCTGAAAGGTAAAACGTTTGTATTTCTTGATCTTGCTAAAGCATGCTAACATCCCTGCTTGTGATATTGTCAATTTTTACTGCACTGTTATTAGACCGGTTCTCAAGTATTGTGCTCCTGTTTTCCATCATGCTCTCCCTGCATATTTATGTGATGACCTTGAGCGCATTGAAAAGCGTGCGCTGTCCATAATATCCCCGGGGTTATCATATATGGACAATCTTATGAAATTGAATATAAGTTCCTTGAGAGACAGGCGGCAAAAACTGTGTAAAACTATTTCAATCCATTATATCTGATATCGAGCACAAACTTCACCATATTCTGCCACCTAAGAATATCTCAGCATATAATCTGAGAAGACAGCGACATTTTGACTGTCCGACCACACGAACAAATCGTTTTAGGAACACTTTTGTCGTTTCTATGTCAAAGGAGTAGTTTAAAAGGATATTGGTGGGGTTCTGATATGACTTCCACCACCATTGCTTTTGGGTCTCTGTAGCTGTGCTTACAACTTTGGTTGATCTCTATTTTAGCAGTGGTGGTGGTGGGGGACATATCTGAATTTGCGCTGATGTCATATATGTAATACTATTACATTCAGTAATATGTAATTGTGTATGTGTTGTATTTAATTTGCTTGTAATATGTAAGTTTTGTTAATTTTACGCAATTCAGCCAATTCGGCTGCCATGTAAAATCTGTTAAAACTATCTATCTATCTATCTATCTATCTAAGGTAAATGGCCAATTTTTTTAAACATGTGTAGAAAAACCAATTTAATGGTTGAACACGAATTCCTTTTTTGGAAACAGCTTACACTAACAACAAAATATATGCATCCACAATGTTATCATTTTAACCACCCAGGGTCTTGTAATGAGTAACTCATATTTTCCATTGGATACTCTAATGTCTTGAAATCTTCGCCTTTTAAGCCTTTGGTGAAACAAAGATAGATTTAGAAAACATGATGCGACGTCTAAGACAACATGAAAATGATGTATGCACCTCGTGTTCACTTCCGGGTTTTAACCTGGGACAGCGTGTTTGTCTTTTTCAAAGCAAATTTTTGTTTTCGTGTTACCGGTTCATTCCTGTTACCGGTTCATTCCTGTATTGTTTTCAATCAGTTGTCAAGATATGTGCAAGAAAAGGCTATATAATACTGGCCAAGTGTTTCCTGATGAATTAGTATGAACATTCAAGAAGTTTTTTTTAGAAAATGATGTGCTTTAGTTTGTAGCCTATTCAATCATGTTTCTCAACTGTTCAGTATAAATATTGCATCAGTGTTTATATTTGTAAAATTTAATACTGTTTACAATAGTTTTTCACGCTGGAAAGTGGTGTTTTTACTTGTCCTACTTTTTTGCACTGTTGTGATGGAGCAACTAAAATTGATTGAGTTTTTACTGCTTTTATTCTTCTGTTGTCCAAGTTTTCCAGATTTTAAACAGTTGTTGATATAACTTCAGTTTAGTTTGTTCTAAAATGTTTGTTTTGGTGAAGAATACTAGTGGTATTGAAGTGGTTATTAACAATGTTTGTTGCAGTTTTGTTGATTTGTTATGGCGACCAAAAGTATTTGTCAAAAATCTTACGGATCCTTTTCATATTTGAGCAGTTTTTATGAGTTCCTTTACAGTTGTATTTATCATTATTGTCCTTATTTGGGGGCTTATCCAGATTAATGCTTATTTATTGTCGATGTTTCACCTCATTGCAGGTTAAGACTTCGCATTTCTCATCTTTATCCTTTCCATGAGCTGTAGTTAGTAAATCATCATTCTTTCTCTGCTTAGACGGTAAACCGGATTTTGCATTTTGTTTTTATTTTAAACTTGCCATTAGACAGTTGCCCCTTTGTGCCTTTATCCCTTTGTGATCTTGTATCTTGTTGCCCCTTTGTGATCTTGTATTATTCTTTGCTTTTTTTTTTTAAATCTGGAGTTTCACTAAGAGGTATGGTTGGTGATTGCTGATACTGTCCAATTTTGGGATTACATGTTAGTGTTTCCGGATCTCTTTTTTGCCAGTTTTCTTTAGCTTTGTGAAAACTCTTTTCTTCCGATGTAGCGCTGGAGTTAACCTTGTCACTTTCATCATGTTTTGTTTTGTTTTGATATTTTCTTTTCTTTTGTGGCAACAAATGGATATGTAAATGGTCAGCATAACTTCACTCGCGTCTTCTGATTCTATCATAATTTTCATGAACAAAAACATAGGCTTTCAACCTTTCCAGTTTTCCAAGTAAAATGCCAGACCATATAATGGCATTTCAGCAATATCCATTTTAATGAATTAAAAGAATGTTGGGCAATAACTTCTATTTGTCTTTTCAGGGTCATCAGCCAGCATTGAATATTGCACAACACGTTCCTTGATATCTTGTAACTTCTTCTCAAAATATTTGATAAAAGGATTGCAAAATGAAGTATAGTCTGTTATAAGTTTATTGACGTCATCTTTATCCATATTCTTAATTAGCCCAGGTACTCACCGATATGCTGTTTGTTTTTCACTGCTTAAACAAATTGCAACATCTTAGAGACTGCATCAAATTCATATAAAGTTCTCGCATTCACAAGCAAAGATATAGAATACATGTTAAGCAATACCATACATCTTTCACAAGGTCTTCTGCTTTATCTTTCTGTTAACGATATGCATGAAATGACAATTAACATTAAATCTGTTTGCAATTCTCTCCTATTGATGATTCTGAATGTTCTTGCCAAAAATCTACCATAGTCTCGTTATTGAATTCTCTAAGTACAGCCAGCAGTATTGCTCGAGAATGATCAGTGTTCACTTGTCTAGGCATACCAATGCATAATACAAAAGACGTTTTCCACCATGATTCGCGACCATGTTCCAGTTGCATCCAAATATGAAATGTCGTTCTTGCATCTACCATGCCACAATCTTACCTGATTTTTATTCCACATATGAACAAGCAGTATGAACAAAGCCTGTTGTGTACTGCAGAAGGTGGAATTTGGTGTGGTGAATCTTTCTCTATCAGCTCTAGTCGAATAATTTCTAACAAATTGCCAAGATCTTTGTCCATTTGTGACATCTGTTTACATAAAAAATATCTGCAAGAAGAACATTGGAATCGTGGGGAGAAATTTAAAATCAGACAACCAATCAATATCTGATAAATCTGGTTGTCCGGTAAATAGTTTTCATCATCCAATATTTCCTGCCCTTCCCTTGTTTGCAATGTTTCCATTGATGTACTGAGGGAATGTACCTGAGAATGTTCAATTCTATTTTCAATAGGCGATTCTGTAACACACTCATGAAAGGCTGAGTTTTCCCCCCGCTGCTTTTGGAGTTTATATCCATTCTATTCTCGTCCATCATGAGCATCTCCATTTTTGCAACGTTCTTGTCCATATAAGAATCTCCATCTTTGTAATTACTGTAAACTTCACCATCATGTTTAGATTTTAAATGGTCTAGGCCAACACATTTGGAGTGGTAATATATAAGACAACCAACAAACTGAAAGCTGCATACTGTATACCATCCCACATCCTCTTTTTGACAGAAGCAGCACACATTACCTTCGCTGCTATGTGACATATAGACTTTTGGAATGCGCTGAGTTACAAACAGGTGTTTTTTGGTTGACCAACAACGTTTTCGTGAGGCTTGGATGAAGTATTTTCTTTTCTTCGTTGTCTTCTGTTTTGTGACAATTTGCATCTTCCCCTTTTTCTCTACAACCATCATCTGCTAATTTGTTATTTACCATGTAAAGAATGAGGGTTTTACGTTCGCTGATTTCATCTGCATTTACTGATATTGTGCCGGAATGGATGAGCTTTTCAAACTAATTTTCAAATTCAGCACTATCTATGTGCACATTCAATAAACACATCGTTGCCTTGTCATGGGAAGGGCTGTCACAATAGTTACAACAACATGAATTGTCATTGATCAACTCATCAAAAATACCATCATGGTTTGATAAGTCTTTTGCTTTCCTCAAAGAAGGCGAGTCTTCAACATTGTGACTACATACATCATTCTTAAATTGCTTAGAGATTTGTACATAGATGCAACTCCTTTCTTTCCACATATAGTTCTGTGAAGTCTTGCCAGTTTAAGGGTGCAGGTTCTTCGTCTGCTTCTTCGTTTTCAGTATTGACAAAATGATTCACTTTCTCTTTTTCACAACAGAAGACACAAAACTGCAATCTGTAGTTGCCACTAACCGTTCAATTCAATATTTTAACAAATTATTTGTCTTTTATCATGTGTACAAAACTGGAGGTATTACTGACTAACAAACATTTTTTATTTTCTTCTGTAACATTGATAGGAAATATATAAATCTATTTAGTTCCATGTTTTGCATTATAGTTTAAATGTAAACCACAAGCAGCCAATAAATGCATGTAAATCATCAAGAGCATTTATAATTGTAAATTGTAAATGTGAAATTTTGTATTCAATTACAACAAAAATAACTTGCATCATCAGAAAGGTTACAAAAATGTATATATAGGACATTTAAACAGTTTTTTTTATATCTCAAATTGTTTTCGAGTTCTATGCTGTCAAAAACACATTTCTGGCCTAGTATCCAGTCCATATTGTGACATTTTGGTCCAATTTTCACATTAATTAAAATAGCAATAACTCAAAGATTATTTGAAGAATCAAACAACTGTTTAGAAGTCTTATTTGCTGCTTTTTATGTTTTCCGATTATGCATGTCATTTTTATTGTAACTGAATACAAAATTTCCCATTCGCTGTAATACAATTTAATTAAAAGAGGATAATCATTGATCACCTATTTTCATATTTTTTTGCTTGGGAACTTTTTTTGGTAGTAACATTATGTATCGATCAATTTGAAACTTCACCATCCCCTGGGCCGACCCCAGGAATTTGAACTTTTTGAAATTTGACTGATCAAATTCTCCACCCCCTGTGCAAAAAACGTCTTCAAATGCCCCACTGTAACAAGAAATTAAGCGTTCAAATACCCTACCTTCATATGAAAATTATGAAACAGTAAATACAAAAAGTACAAAATATACGGAAAAGTTTTTCAACAAGGTAGCGAAATTAATGTAAAAAGTTTGGATACCTTGTGGAAATTTAACAGTTTTACACAATTATGTAGTACATACTTTCAAATGAAGCACATCGATTTTCCATGCCCGTTTCTTTGAGCCAGTTTTTCACAAATTTGAGGCTGTTTCCATCGAAATCTGAGAAAACTGTATTTGCCACCAAGGCGAAGTATTTTTCTGTGCATGCAGGAAGCACACGAAAACAGGGAAAATTTTAAGATTTCCGGTTCAAATTCCCCACCCCGTTATCAAATGGCCCACCACATGGAAGACCTAGAAGACTATGGAAGACCTAGAAGACTATGGAAGACCATGCATAATTTGAATGAAGTATTGTAGGATAGTACATATAAAATTGTATAACATATGAACACAGGCAACACAGATAACGTTCTATTATAATTTATATTTCCACAACTAAAGTTAGTTGCATGAATTTGAGTGCGTTTTTCTGTACTTTCAACTCAATGATTTAAAGGTAGGTTACAGTCCCTTCTGCACATGCGCGCACTTTGTTTACGTTTTTTGTTTTGATCCACATTAATTATATAAGATGAAGTATATAACGAGTTCAAAGTAACATTCCACATAATTTGTGACCGAGGAGTGCAATGTTTAACAATACTTCATTTCATTTCTTGTACATTTCTACACTGGGAATTTTTGTACATAATAACACAATCTTATACTGTAACTGTTTAACTGTAAACATCGTGAATAAAGAGGCCGCTTTGAACCTTGTGTGACTACTTGCTATATCAACAGCTGGGGCGGCGAACCGAAATCCCGAAGGTGTAAGTTCGAATAATTTGTGTTTAACACCTTCATGCTGGGCACATGTGATAGCAAATTTGCCAGAACCTTGCGTGTAGCTTTTTTCCAGAACACGCGCTCTAAAACTTGGAGACTAAGAACGAACCACAATCGGGTTTTTATTCGCCGTTTGACGGCCTCGTAGAGCAATCTGTTTGTGTCGATAAATAATCGGATAGTTGAATATGGAACAGCAAGCAAAGCCCGCCATTTTGATTCCAAATATGCTGTTGTTCGGCCATTGATTCAGTTTTTACAGGCTCGGGAATTTCAGTACCTTGATGGAAACTTACTATTATCATAAAAATGAACATTTTGACCCTCGGGCTATCTTTGGTGAGTTTGCTCAAACTAATTTAAAACCAAACAAGAAGAACGGCGAGACATTCATTCGGAAGGCTGCCGTTTTAGTTTTCGACGATTAGGTCGCTGTAGCGTGTAATACCACAGGTTTTGACACTCTACTGGTTGCCGCGATGCCACGTTTTAATGTTGCAACCTATGTGAAAGAACAAAAACATCCGAGGGAGAAAGTTGTATTGGAGAACCGACAATTAAAATCACTTCAAGATGAAATTTCTGCCGCTGCTAAACTCAAGGAAGAGAAAAGGAAGGAACTTAACAGGATTAGAGAAAAGCACCGAAGGCTTGATAACAAGGTAATTTATGACATCTTTGTGTGAAGACCAAATTAAAAGCTACAAAAGTTCATAGGGTTTTCGTTGAACGTTCACAGGAATACCATATGAACCATGGAAATTTTCATAGCATTTCACAGTCCTCTGAAAAAAATACTATGATCATTGTCCTTTTTCCATAGTTAGACCTCATTTCACAGGATATTGCTCTAGTATAATGCTCAGAACTCCACTAGCTTGTCTAAATGATAAACGGGAGTATTGAGGACTTGGCAAACATCTCTCCTGGACAGCCGATGTTGCATCGTCAGCTGTTCGTCACCCGAAATGTATCATGTAACTAGCTAGTGTATAAACGAGATGCGCCCTAATGCACCCTACTTCCTGATTTTGCTCTGCCTAGCAAAATACGATTTTGCTTGGCAAGGGTAAAACGTTACGAGGTGAATGTAAATATGTGAAATATTTTGTTGTCCCTTTTTGAAATAGGTAGGAAATTTGGTGAAAGCTATTGAAGATTTAAACGATATTCAAAACGAGCTTGTTCAACTAGACAGTACAGACCAGTCAGGTAGTGCAGCTAACCAGAATAATCCAGCAAGTGCATCCCACATTATTTAATGTGGAAGGGAAAATTTGCACGAGCTCGTCATTAGCCAGGCAGCGTAGAAAAAGTACATTCAAGGCAGCCAGGCAAATTCATGGGGGACAGGATAAAATATCTGTAGCTGCGGAAGTAGGAATTATAGATACTGCTTTGGTGAAATGTTCAAAAGACATTTTAGTAACTGCAATGTCCTCCAGTAAGAAGTTTACTAAATCAGTATTTGCCTATCATATATAAAAAATCACTGAAGACCTATGAGGCCTCTGAAGATAATTTAATTAGAAGTGTTGCTGTATATTATAGTGGGGGTGTAACTGGGAAAAAGAAGTATCGTAAGATCTATAAGTATAGTTGTTATAGGCTAAACAAGGATAAAACTAAAAATGAACGCCTAGCAATAGATAGCTGCCCTTTACCTCGCTTAGTGCCATATAACCGCATAATGCCCTACATTAAGTCCATATCTTTGGGTACAATCAATAGCGTTACTGACACACTGTGCTATGGTTTAGATGAATGTGATAAAGTAACTGGGTGCTATCGTAACCTGAAGGAAATGTTAATTAAACTTGCTGAGTTTTATCTCTCAGGTTGTACTGGGCATTCCATCACATGGTTTGAGGAACCATACACATTTTCTGTAGGAGGGGATGGAGCACCATTCGGCAAAGATGATACGCCATGTGCTTGGTTAATCAGTCTGTTAAATATTGGTAGAGGTGTGTTAAGTAGTAACGAGAACTACCTGCTTTTCGGGGCAAATTGTAGAGAGAGCTGTATTGTTGTCCAGAGATTTATTAAAATGCTCTTGACTGATATTCGGGATATTGAAAAAAGTGTAATGACATGTTCTCACAATGGCCAACAAGTGAATGTTAAATTTTCTTTCACTGAACTCCCCAATGATATGAAAATGTTAGCGTTTCTCAGCGGGGAGTTGAGCAATAGTGCCAAATATTTCTCATCTTTTGCCAACGTTTCAAGTGATGATGCAAAAAACACCCAAGCTACCTTTGGGAGAGGCATTGAAAACACTTGGAAACCTTGGATGTATAGTGACAGGTTGAAGGTTGTGAATGAAGTCGAAAAGTTGAAGGCAAAGCTGAAACAGCCTTTGTCAGATGCCACTAAGAGATCAAAGGTGACATCTTTCATTGCTCAAAAAAAGAGCAGACAAGAATTTGAACCTCCCTTAGGTAATATTATTGACAAGGCTCATGTCGAGCCATTGCATTTAAAGAATAATGCATGTGCTCTTGCACATAGGTACCTTTTGCTAGAAGTTTTTGAGATTTCCAATTTACCTGATTCCATTAAACTGTTTTCACAAGTCCCAAGTAACTCTCCTATAGCAAGGTATATAAGTGAGATGAAGACCAAATGTGGCCTTTCACGTCTTGCAAAGAGAATTGTAAGATGGTTTAACAAGACGAAAGCGGCTAGTAAAGCTTTAGATTATCGATTCACAGGCAAGGATTCGAGGGGATTTTTACATAATTTTATGTACTTAATTGCTGCAGTGGAACCTTTTCAAAAACATGGTTCTAGGCAAGAATTTATTTTACATGTTTTGTCTTATCTTTGCCTGATGTTGCATAAATGTGTTACTCTCTTTAACCGCATTGAGATTAAAGATGACCTTGTTGATCTTCAACATGCTTGTAAAGTTTACTTTCACGCTCAACTGTTTGTTTTTTTGCTCATCATCCCATTGCTTGGACTTTAGGTCTTGTTGTCCCAGTTCATGCAAAGGAGATGAAAGTCAGGTATGGCATGGGGCTCGCCTTGAACTCCATGGAAGGTCGTGAAGCCAAACACATTTCAATTGCAAGATATTGTACCAACACCAACTACCAGTCAAGGTGGGAACAGGTATTCATGCTTATTTGGCTTCGTGAAAGGGGCTATAATAATACAAAGCCGGTCACTTCCTCTACATTCAGTTATGTCCCGAAATGTGTCGTCAAAAATGGTTCAAGTTTTTGTAATTGCGGGTTGAAAAAGGAGGCCGAATCTTCCAAATGCAAATTTTGCATTCATTCTTTGAGAAACCAAATTGTTAAGAGGGTTGAAAAGGCTTGCCGTTAAGTTACATGTTCTATGTTAGATGCAAGAAACACTCTATATTTAGTTTTAAATGCAATGCCAAAAAATAAGATGTATTTTTACATAATGTTATCTTATTTTCTTGTTTGAAATACCAAAGAACTTCAAAGCTGGCTTACCTTGTCTGTTGTCTTCTCAAAAATGTATTATTAATATTGATAATTAATATAATATATATTTACCCATTAAGCTGCAACACACCCTAAAATAGGTCTAAGCTGATTGTAAACCTTAGAGTTGTATACATAAACAACTGACATTGACATTTGATTAGTCTATTTTAATTAATGAACTCAACAATATACAGGAGGCTGTGCTTTGTTACACAATTTTTATACAAATGTTATGAATGTTTTTCTTCTTAAATTAACTTATTTATCTGCTTGTATTTATATGAAATGTTATAAATAAAAATAATTCCAAAGCTTCCTTGTTTTATCGCTTATTCTCTCATATATTTTATTTACTAATATAGTATGTATGTATAGGATAAACACCGAGAAGCAGGGATTTATGTCAGATAATGACCCGAGGATGTACAGCGTCCGAGGGCATTATGACATAAATCCAAACTTTCGAGGTGTTTATCATATTTAATTCATGGTTCAGGAGGTTTTCCAACAATGTTTTGTCTGTTCTGTCTGCTTTGAACAACGATTTTCTGAGTTTTCCTTCATCTTTTCAGCTAATTAATACAATAATATGCAAGGTGATTATTAAAAATAATCACCTCGGTACATCAAAGCAAACCGACTCAATCATTTTGACTCAATCATTAATTAATTATAATAATTATATTATTAATTTTGAGATAGAGAAGGGCTATTTTATAGATACAAAAATTCACATCCACAAACTGCCTTGTATAGGGATGTTCTGAATACAGGTATTTGACAAAATATGAACATCAGATACGAAGTGACATTTTGCCCGATACTTACTGGATATTATTTTTAACTTTAGATTACCAGTCGACTCCCCTGCCACAGAGATTTATTTTTACCAATATATCAAAAGATAAGGAGATACTAAAACAATGGATTATATTATGGCAAAACTAAATAAGTATTGTTGAAGTTCCAACATTAGTACATGTCATACAGATATCCAGAATCCAGTTACCATTTCTACTGGTATCAGGTAGAGTACTATTTAGCACACCGGTATCTAGAAACAGGGGTGGATTACTGGATTTATGGGGGAGGGGGTGCACACCCCTGTTGGCCTTGGTCAACAGGGGTGCAAAAATATCAAATTCAGAAATATGGCACAATTTCCAAGGTTTTTCCTTTTTTGAAATCAAACTGAAGCTCATAATTCAATATAAATTGCAGGAAATGACATTTCTAGGGTTTTAATTTTCAAAGTTTTCCGGGGGCATACTCCTGGACCCCCTAAGGAGCTTGCACCTTCAGCGCTCAGGTTGTTAGCCAATTCATTTGAATGATCTCCCACCACCCCCTAGAGGATTATAAAGAAACACTCGGCTGCTCACCCAGCACACCCCCCTACAAAAACCTTGCTGGATCCACCCTTGTCTGGAAAATCGGTATCCAGCACATCCATACACTGTATATATTATTAAGTGAGAAATTATTTAAGACAGAAAAACAATATTTTAAGGTAATTCAAATTGTAAACCTTCAAGTTGTATTGTCTATTTTTATTATTATAATGGACTCATGACAACAATATACAGGAGATTGTGCTTAGAATGGTAAATCAGTGCAAAATCCTTTATTTCAGAGACCAACAGTTTTGTCAAGTGATCCTTGCGATTTCCACTCAATCTCCGTTCCAGGTAACCTGATACCTCTGTCATACTCAGGGCACTGAGGAATTCCTTAACTGCCAAAATGGACTGAAAAGATACAACTGTCATTTTCTTGCTTTCAACGACATAGCAATTCGGATAGCAGAATAATGGCCTTCGGCAACTTTTGATTGCTCGAACTAAACACCTAAACATTTCCTCTGGTATATCACACCTTATTTGAGAAAAGAAAGGCCGCCTTATGTTTCGTCTTCCAGCCAAACGCCGGTGGATGGCTTTTAGCCATAAATACGACTCTCATCTAAAAACCTTCCCAGCATTTATGTTCAATGAAAACAGCATGTGAGGGATGCCAGGCTTGCTTATTTCAGGTAGTGTTAGGACGTTACTGCTTTCGTCGTCGTTTTCACATCTTATCTGCTCTTGATTTGTGTCAGCATTGCCTTCTAAAAATTTGTTCAAGACTTCTTCCACGCTTAACTTCGCCGCCATTTTGAAATTGTTTCTATGGTCACCAGGTGTCGCACATGGATAAAAGGGAACATAATTGGGGGAAATACCGCTGCTCGCAAGCACTGACAATTTGGCAATTTTCTCGCCACTTGTGCCCGGCGTGCTGATTCCAAATGACTGAACCCATGTAATAATTATCCCATGCAACTGTTAGGAAGGGTAAAATTTTTAATGGAGGAGGAAAATTCTAAAGGAAAGGTGGAGTTTCTAAAGGGGGGTGAACTTCCTAAGAATTTCGCTCCTCCCCTGGGGGCAAAATTGTAGAGGGCAAAATTCCTAGGACACCGGTACTACAGTATATTATTATTGTCACTGCTTTCTTGTAGTTTCCCTCCTTCTTAATGCAGGGTAAGTGTAAGTTTTTCACACTTGTTTGGGTCGTTCTGGGCTTGTTGTTCTTCCCATGTTGATTTCAATGGCCCTTGTTTGCCATGATTATTTTGTTGCACATAGTATATCTCTGATAGAATACTTTAATCCAAGTAGTAATCCTTTCTTCGGTCGTCATAAATGAAACACAGTTTGACGAGGGTCTATAAATTGAATAATCTATATTTTCAAATGGAACGCTGCATGCTTTTGAGTTCTTGAATTCGTCAAATTGTAATTGTATGGTCGAAGCATTGAAATGGGTCGAATGCATGTTTACAGTTTTCTTCAATTTTTTCTTTTTAATTTGCGAGTTACGCCAAGATTTTTAGATATAACTGTGCCTTGTATATTCAGCTTGGAAATTTATCAAAGGTCAGCTGTCTTTAACCAACTATTTCTTCTAAAAAATCATTTATATGCTGTTCTAAAAAATCGATGCGGCAGCCATCTTGAGGATGTAAACTAAAAGTACATTACTAATGTTATTATCACTCAATCTCATTTTGTCTCTAATATTTTTTTGCTTCATGGAAAATAGTACCTCCTCTTGGCCAGGGCTCCCCCCTCTTGCATC